GGCTGTCTTTGTAACTTTATAAATAGAGGATCAGCAATGGTGGAGTTTGTGCTTAACAATACATTTAGCTGGAGCCCAGGACCATCTTGTGTTCTAGGACATTGAGCAGTTCAAATTTGTACACTAAGACTGAGCATCTGGAAGTGTATACTATTGTATAAACAGGTAAGAAATGCTGACTAAGACTCCATTTAAGTAAATTTCATTTATTAGCATGTTGCAAAATGGGAATTGACTCTGGTAAATTAACGATGGGCAAAGATGGCTCCACTGATATTTTGACCAAGAATTCTGTGATTTATTATGTCTTTTAGTTTGTAAACATCACACACTTTACAAGGCAAGAAACTGTTAATTAATTTAATAAATACTATTGAGGTCCAGATATGTTCAAGGCTCTTCTGTAGGCAACTGAGTTGCTGCAAAGGGCACAAAGCATGTTAGTGTACCCTTGCCCAGAACAAATCTCAACATGGTAAAGACTTAGCAAAATTTCACAGAGAAGTGGTTTGCACCATTGGAAATTGCTGTCCATGTGCACACAGGAAACTGTCGGCGGGTGATTCATGGGTTTTTGAAGAGTCTGGACTTCCCCAGGCTGTTGTTTCATTTGGGTCAGCTGATCCTGTGGTTCCTTAAAGTCTACAAAGGTCCCTCTGCTTTAAGGAGACCAAGGCTTTTTAAGCTTGCTCTCACACAGCCAGAGGGGTTCCAGACAGGGTGAGCTGTTAAAGGCCAGGGAAGGGCTGTCTGTGTACAAAGAAGCCAGAGGCAGCCAGCAGCCTGGAAATTGAAGACAGACCACATTCCAGTAGAGACCTGAGGAAGCAGGGTGCATCTACAAGTTACTTTCTGTGGCAAAATGTGGGTGATCTTGGGTGTGCGCAGTCTTGACCAGCATCCTGAAGCTTGTCAGGTCCAAATCATCTCTGAGAGGCAATGAATTTTAAGTGCTGAATTGAACCTGAAGTGTCCTGAAGTTTGAGAGAAATTCAACAAAATACCACAATCTGATCAGCAATAAACCCCCTGCCGTACTTTCTCAAGGGTTTCAAAATCTTTGGGCAAAACTATCTTTTTCTAGAGTATGTATAGAGCATTTTTTTTCTAAATCCAAGTAACAACCCCCAAATAACCACTAACCAAAATGTAGAAATTATTTCTGGATCATCTGTTATGTTAGCTGAGGGGACTGTACAGGCTCTGAGTGTTGTGGTTTATTCTTAGGTCAAGTATCTCTTTGATTATTGGGAGACAATATACAGTACTATCTGATGGAGGAGGGTCATCTGTCTTTGTGTTACTTTCATTGGTTAATAAAGAAACTGCTTTGGCCTTTGATAGGACAGCAGCTTAGATAGGCAGAATAGACAGAACAGAATGCTGGGAGGAAGAAGGAAGTGAGGCAGATGCTATAGCTCTCCTCTCCAAGATGGACGCAGGTTAAGATCCTTCTCAGTAAGCCACTACCTCATGGTGCTACATACATTATTAGAAATGGGTTAATCAAGATGTGAGAATTAGCCAGTAAGAGGCTAGAGCTAATGGGCCAAGCAGTGTTTAAAAGAATACAATTTGTGTGTTGTTATTTTGGGGTATAAGCTAGCCAGGCTGCTGGGAGCTGGGCACCAGAAAGTGGCCTGCAGCTTTTTTTATACCTATCTGCTGTTTTACAAAGTTATAGTTTGGGCATTTGTGTCATTGAAACTAAGATCTTTAGGCTTAGATCTTTATTTTAAAGTTTCATCGAAAGTGCATTGGTTGAACTGGTTCATAGTGATGTGAACTGCTTTAGAGGACCATTACTGCTGTTTGGGAAGACAAAACAGAGTCTTGTGGGTTTTGCATTCTCACCTTTGTGTATTGCACAATTTAGTGTTATACCTAAAAGGCAAACAAATAAACTCTTTTTACAAATACTAGACTGACTTAAAAAAAAACTTTGGTTAGATATGTTTTGAAGGATTCTTCTCTGAAAGATAGTGAAAGAAAATGTCTTCTTGATATTTCTTCATGTCCATGTGAGTGTTTCTCTCTCTCTCTCTCTCTCTCTCTCTCTCTCTCTCTCTCTCTCATCTGTCTGTCTGCCTGTCTGTTTCTCTTTCTATTGTGTGTGTGTGTCTGTTTCCCTCTTTCTTGTGTATGTATGTGTGTACACATCTCTCTCTCTCTCTCTCTCTCTCTCTCTCTCTCTCTCTCTCGTATGTCTCTTTCCCTATTGTGTGTGTATCTGTCTGGTTTTCTCTCTCTCTATGTATATGTGTGTATGTCTGTTCTCCCCCCTCTGTGTATGTGTGTATGTATTTGTGTATGTGTCTGTATGTCTGTTTCCCTCTCCTCTCTCTCTCTCTCTCTCTCTCTCTCTCTCTCTCTCTCTCTCTCTCTCTGTGTGTGTGTGTGTGTGTGTGTGTAAAGGTCAATGCTCGCTATTTTCTCCCAAGTGCTTTGTGCAAAGAGGAGACAATTACCAGAACATTGCTGCAGTTGATGCCAACAAATAGGTGTTGCATGACAAGACAAGCATGCAGCCCCAAAGAAATCATTGTTTGAAATACAGCTTGATGCCAGTATGCAGCAAACAAGACTTGAATAGCTGAACAGAGCTTAGGAAATTGAAATTCTTATCAAAAGCAAAACGCTTCTCTCTCCTTTGTAGAATTTTCTTGAACATGAAGCCCATGTCAAGCAGCTGCTTTGGTTCATTTTTGTCTTTCTTACAGCACTTGACACGGTGATGCCTTCATGTGGGTGTTATGTGTCTGGGAAACAGTGGTGGATGAATATGGGAAAGATTATAGGCCTTTAACAATGACTTGCAAAGTTGTCGGGGTTCTTGGGAGAGGACAGGAAATGTTAATTTAAAAATAGTTCTCTAAGCCAAAGAAAAAGAGACAAGGAAAAAAAAGGTATTTCATTTCTTAATCTGTACGGGTTACCTCTTAGGAACTGAGTAAAGAATAAATCTGGGATTAGTGTAGAAGAAGAGCTGTTGTGCTCAGAGTGCCTCTCTCTCTCTCTCTCTCTCTCTCTCTCTCTCTCTCTCTCTTGTCTTTAAAATATCTGCTTCAGAGGGAAGATTACTCAGCAAGTCTCTGAACATGCCATCATCAAAATAATTTCCTTTCATTGTTTTTAAAGCTCCGATTGCAATTAGGAAAACAGAAAATGACTCATAGATTCCAATATTTTACATCTTGGGATAATATAACTTTTTTCCCTTTAATTATTTTTTGGGCCCAAGTTATATTTCCCCCTGTATTGCTTTTGGGTGGGAAACAGATTTTCATGTAGCACAGGTTGGATTGAGACGCATTCTGTAGCAGAGGGTGGTGTTGAATGTCTGGGCCTCCTGCCTCCTCACCCAGTGTGAGTGCTGGCTTTACAGGTCTGTGCTACCATGACTGGCTTCACACAGTCCTGGGGATTGAGCCTGGGACCTTGTGCATCATAAGCAAGAACTTTCTCTGCACATTACATTCCCAGCCCGTGATTTTTAAATTCTAAAATCTTGCAAAACCTTTATCCTTTGTATCCAGGTTTCAAGCCACATGTTAGTTTAGTATTTCTGCAAGCCACTGCCAGCAATACATTTTAAATACAGAGATACATTTTAAACTACCCTTGGGATTTTTTCTTCCTGGTAAAATGATGGCATGCCTTCTGCCTTCTTCAGGGTGGCCGGGGAAAGTGTAACTGTTGTCTGCAGCTAAGATGGCTATGTAAGAAAAGAACCAACTCTGTTCATCACCCAACTCCAGTTTGACTTAAAAGAAGGAAAGTTTTATACACAACCCTGCAAATAACCTAAAAGATGCAGGCTGACTTTTCTCTCCCACCCACCAATTCCCAAATAACGGTCAAGAAGACTCAGTATTAATTACAAATGTTCAGACTTATTACTAACTAGCTCTTACAACTTAAGTTATCTCATTTACATTAATCTACATTCTGCTATGTAGTATTATAATCTCTCTTTCATCTTCCATGTTTCCTTTTTGTGTCTTGTTGGTGACTCCTCTGATCCCATCCTTCTTCTTCCCAGTATCCTTAGTCTGGCTCTTGCACTTAACTTTATCCTGTCCAGCTATTGGCCAGGCAGCTTCTTTTTAAAACCAATCACAGTGTAATTCACACAGTGTACAGAAGGATTATTCCACAGCAAAAAGACTTTGTGCAGACCTTGGCTAGTATTTAAAGGCACTTTCTTATTAATATAAAGGTACCAAAAGGTAACTTTCTTCCCTTTACAGCATCCGTGCTGTATGGATGGCTCATGCACCTTGCTCCATTTCTACTGAGTACTGGAATTTGCAACATATCATGGGGTCTTTGACTGAACATTACTTTCAAAGACACTTTCTAATATTGTAGAAAATCTGGTTTTCTTGGATGAACATTCTTCCTAGCTGTGGAATAAATGGGACTTACGGCAACAATCTTTTGTTTGTATTCGCTTACCAGGATGCTAAGTTCTTTGACTTCCAAGTCTCAGCTTCCCTGAGCCTTGTCTCAAGCACTCTAAAGAGTTGGATACTGCCTTCCTCTGCTCCTGCTTGGCTACCAAGTATGACATACTCTACAGTTCACCTTGGAGAAGGCTTTATGGCTTTATCACAGAAATGTGATATCATTTAGTGACTTGCTATTTGAAATGCTTACCCTCAAGGGGACCATTGTGAGTTTTGATGCATACACTGTTAAGAAGTATATAGCCATTGAGAATGCAAATCTATAACAAGTTAGATAATTTCTAACTTAGTCAAGACAATACTATTTATAGAATTCATTTTCTCCCTTCATAATGTAGCAAAGGGTTTTTACTCCTTCAAAAACTTATTGAAAAGTGTGAAAGAAAAATTATTAAGTTATGGTTGATGGTCAGTGGTAAAATCATCATCAAATGGCTTGCTCTGCTTTAAAATTTTCTGTATCAGAGGTGACTTTTAAACTACCAATGTGAGTTAAAATTGTCAACACTTGTCCTAGCTATATAAAACCAATCATGGTCAGATATGCTTGAAGGATTAGTTCCCAGTTCTAGAAATAGGTGAGAGACACAGGGAGGAAGAGAGAATGTAGACAGAAGGCATGTTTTAGCTCACCCGATTTCATAAAGTATATAGAGTGATTAAGACATGTTTAATCCTTAACTAATTGAGAACACTCCATTTCAAATCTTGTTTAGACAACAGAAAACACAAGTTTTCAATAAAACTTCTCTTAATGTAAATAAAGGAAGTTGTTTAAAATACTCATCTGAGATGCTCTGTGTGTCAATCATCTCACTCTAGGACAAAGTACCAGAGATGATGACTTAGCAGAGAGATTTTCACAAGGCTCCACCCCCTGCTGCAGAGCCACCAGCAATTAGTTAACAGTTGCTGGGTGAAGCTCAACCAGTCTTCTCCTGGGATGATCCAATACCACAGAAATGGTCAGTTCTAAATAAATAGACATCTAAGCAACACCTAATGGCTTCAGCAAATTCTCTCTCTCTCTCTCTCTCTCTCTCTCTCTCTCTCTCTCTCTCTCTCCCTTCTCTGTGTGTGTGCATGTGTGTACATGTGGCAATAATGATTAAAGGGGAAGAGACCATGCATGTGAGAGGGAGTGTGGGAGAAAAAGAAAAGGAGCTGGGAGAGAGGGGTAGAAAATATGTAAATGCATTACACATGAATAAAATCTCAAAAAATGAAAATGGAAAATATTTAAATTTTGTTTGTATGTATGTGTGTGTGTGCGTGCATGCATGTGACCTATTCATATGAATGTCAAAGGACAATTTGCAGGTGATTTTTCTTTTCTTCTGCTATATGGGCTCTAGGGATTGAACTCAGGTTATCAGGTTTGGTACCAAACACGCTTTCCCACTGAGCCCTCTTGCTGGACCACAGATTTCCTTTGCTTACAGTTTCAGATGGTTCTATAGTCTCTGGACTAATGTGGCTAAGCAGAATATCACGGTAGGAAGTTTATGGTGAAGCAAAGTGGCTTCCTGTGTGCAGACATGAGACAGGGAAGTGAGAGTAATTGGCCAGGGACAAGATCTACTCCTCAAGGCCCACCTTCAGCAGGCTACTTCCTTCAAGCAGACTTAACCTCCTGACAGGCGTTCAATATAAATTTATTAGGGAATTGGTCCATTGATGAGGTTAAAATCTTTATAAGTGTTGCCACCATTTGGAGACCAAACTTTTAAATTATCAATCTTCTGAGTCGTTTCAGACTTAACCCATAGTACTGTGTTTTATCATCAAATCTCAATCTAGGAAGAATTCTTTAGTGTGAGGTAGATACCGAGACTCAGAGCAAAGTGAGAAACCATGCTGAACATAGAACATGTATGCACAGGCTTGCAAAGTAGGAATTCCTCCTTCTCTCCCACAAAAGCTTAAGGAAATTCAGTGTCTTCCTCAATCTGGAAGAGTTTGAGTTTTGCATTGCTGGTTCATCTGACATGCAAAGTATAAGAGCCAAAGAACATGATAACAGTTTTCCATATGTCTCCCTGGCCAAAACTAACAGATGCTGGCAACTGAGTCACCAGAACAATCTGGAAGCCGTCAACACTGGGGCAAGGGCCCCTTCCCAGCATGAAGAGGAAGACCAGGTGCAGACCAGGCACAAACCAGGCTATGCACTAGGGAATGGGATGTGAACTTGGGCAAAGGTGCTTCTGAGAGTGCGAATAGCTCCACTGAGTTCCGAGAGAGCCCAAGGAGACAATCTTCTGAAGACCTCACTCCTGCCCAGAGCTAAGGGAGGTGAGCAAGGCTGACACTGTGGAGGCGCTTTGTTTATTGACGCTTTAGAGGAATTCCTCTCCACACAGCAATTGCATTGGGTAGTTATTGAGAGGAAGTTGGGATTTTCTTTTTTTAGATGGGAAATTGGGAGAGAATTTATGAGAAATCTGGGAAGGCTCAGTAACTCTAAGTGACTTCCTCATTTCTAAGTAACTTTCTCTCTGTGTTTGTGTGTGGAGTTTTAGTCATACGATTATGTTCAGTTATTTCATTTTTGGTGTGTGTGTGTGTGTGTGTGTAGAAAAACACAGAAAGAACACATAAAACCTAAGAATATATGACATAATCTTTTACTCCCTCATTTTTTTTGATATCTAGAAATAACTCAGTCACCGAAGAGGGCAATCAGTCTTTTGCGTGAACTCAACATGGCCTCAGCGTTCATCTTCACTGGTCCACACTGCTGAGAAAGAAGGGTTTCTAACATCCCATTAGGAGACAGAGATACGTGTAAACAGTAATTGTCAGTTAAAATAAAAGACAAAAAGGCATCCACTTAGAGTTTTAGTTTCCTTTTGATCCTGACTTACAAATCATCACTACAGAGTGAGGGGTGCAATGGTTTAAAGTAACTTCCTTCATGTTTGAAAATGACTGGAAATTAATTTCTAAAACACTGAGCCTTTTTGGCGAAGGCTTAATGTCAAGTGTTATATAGAGGAGGTGATATGGTATCCTACATTCTGTCCCTGTAAACCTGCCTGACTCTGAACAAACCCAGGGAGAAAACTGGACATAGCCAATAGGCTCTCAGTGTGTCCCACAGGTTGGTTCTACTAAACAGATTAAGGGTGGATGCTTGTGACCAGGTAAGCACAAAATCTGAGAGTTTAGGATTGTTTGGTGTAGTTTAAAGAAAGTTAGTAGGCATGTGCTTTTATGTTTGCTGAATCTAATAATAAAATGGAGTTTTTGTTTTCATTTTCATTTTTTGGTAATTGTAAGACAGTATGGTCTTCCAATACATTCCAACACAATTTGAGAACAATTGTGAGAAAACACAACCAAGCCACAAGTGCCATGAACCGAAACTATGATGAGTGTGAACGGCAGGTTACAGCGTGTCTGTTATGTGGTGAGTGTGAACGGCAGGTTAAAATGTGTCTGTTATATAATGATATGGTGAGTGTGAATGGCAGGTTACAGTGTGTTATGTGGTGAGTGTGAACGGCAGGTTAAAATGTGTCTGTTATATAATGATATGGTGAGTGTGAATGGCAGGTTACAGTGTGTAATGTGGTGAGTGTGAACGGCAGGTTACAGTGTGTCTGTTATATGATGAGTGTGAATGGCAGGTTACAAGGTGTATGTTATGTGATGATATGGTGAGTGTGAATGGCAAGTTAAGTGTGTCTGTTATGTGATGAGTGTGAACAACAAATTAAGTGTGTCTGTTATGTGGTGAGTGTGAGCAGAAGGTTTCAGTGTGTCTGTTATATAATGAGTGTGAATGGCAGGTTACAATGTGTTTATTATATGATGATATGGTGAGTGTGAATGGCAGGTTACAGTGTGTCTGTTATGCGATGAGTGTGAACAACAGGTTAAGTGTGTCTGTTATGTGGTGAGTGTGAGCAGCAGGTTTCAGTGTGTCTGTTATATAATGAGTGTGAACAGCAGGTTACAGTATGTCTGTTATGTAATGAGTGTGAACAGCAGGTTACAGCATGTCTGTTATGTGATTGGGTATTTTCAGTCTTGTTACAGGGGAAAGTAGGCTCAGGAGAATTCTGGACATGCCCAGGCAGAATGCAGGCGGAAACCTGTGCTCGATTGTTTACACAGCATTTTGTACTGTATTCCTATCCATTTGATCATCCATCCATCCATCCACCCACTTGCCTATTTAATGAAAATTATGTACATACTATGTGCCTAGTGCCCATCCTCTGGGTAGTCATGCACAATTTAGTGACAACAAAAGAGGTTATATTCATAGGTTACCTATGTTTTAAGCTTTCTCAGATACATGTAAAGATAACTGAAATGGACAGCTCTTTGTGCTTCTTGATGGGACTCTATGGCCTCAGCCCTGTCAGGCTCATTCGTAGAATATCCCTAGCTGACTGGGCACCAACTCTGATTTCTTTCTATAATGAGTTTGAATGAGAAATGTTTCCCACAAGCTCAAGCATTTAAACACTTTGTCCCTATTGGTGGTGGTGTTTGCCGAGGTGTAGGTGTTTATGATCTTGCTGGACAAAGTAAGCCATGTGGGGTGCACTTCCAGAGTAAAAAGGTCTTTCCTACTTTGAGTTTATTCTGTTTGGGGACTGCAGTTGAAAGATGTCAGCTTTCAGCTCCCTACTCCACTGCCCCACCCTGCTGCCAAGCTCTCCCCGCTCTTCAGACTCTAACCCTCTGGAACCACGAGTCAGAGTAAACTCCTTCTTCTTCAAGTTGCTTTGCTCATAGTGTTTGACCAAACACTACAGAATAATTAATCCTTGGCTTCCATGACGTGCTGGTCCGCTCCTAATTATGGGATGGTTTGGAAGACAGCAGAACCACACTTTCATGGAAGTCCCATCAGAGTGTCAGAAGTAAGCCCACACAGTGTCTGCTTACCATAAGAATCATTAGCTGGCTTTGGACAAGTTGACAGGGGGATGTGGCCGGATGGGACACCCCAAGGGCATTGTGGCCTATACCAATACCAATGTGATTTTAGATTAAGGCCAATAAAACACAGGGAGCATGGAGAACTATCAAGACCTTACTGCTGAATCAGCTTGTCTGGTGCTCTGTCTTGAGCAGAAAGCAAGACTGCAGGGAAATTCCCCCTTGAACCCCAGCTGGTAAAGCATAGTGGTTGTGTGATCTTTTGTAAAAGCCAGGCATCACACATCTTTAAAAAATAACAACAATATTTTCCTTTCATGTTGACATTTTATTTCCTTTATCTGATTAGAATTGGATTTAATAGTCTTTTTGTTATCACAAGAGAGAAGGATGTCATTCATGATGCCAAGTTGTAAAACAGTCTGTCGTGCTGACGGATATCCAGATAGCATGGGAGGTGGGGGGGGGGTTGCTAATCACTCAATATCCATCAGCAGTTAGGCTGGACACATAAACAAGAACACATGTTGAAACTGATGTATGTGCTGATTGGAACAGCTAGGTACTTCCTTAGCAAGGGTTAGAGAGCCTTGTTCCCACCACCCCCATGTGAGCAAGGGTTACAGAGTCTTGCTTTCCCCCGACCCCATGTGAGCAAGCGTTACAGAGCCTTGCTCCGCATACCCCGTGTGAAATATATGGGAGAATCTGGGGGAGGTCAAGAAAAAATAAGCAGAGCCTAAGACAGATTTGAAAACTAAGCAGCAACATCTGGCTGGTGACTTCCTCCCACGTACATAGGAAGGGTCTTCATGGCAGTTAATGAAAAATGTTTGTCTTGGCAGCATGCTGGCTTCATGTCCAGCAGATCTGTGAATGAGCTTCGCTTGGGTTTCTGCTTCTCTTGGTGTTGGACCTAAGGCCTGATAATCACAAGCTGACATCCATCAGCTGTTCTCAAGCATTGCAGGTTTGCTTGAACATGTCTTCAAAAGATTCCTAAGTATTAAAGATCTTCTAATTCTTCATTATTTAAAATGCGGTTTATATCGTCTTAATAAACTCTATGAACATAAACTTAATGAACATAAATATGTTGGAGAGGTTTATCACTGAATTTCTTCAGTTAACATAGAGAACATTCCATTTCAATTCTAACCATTTAGCATGTTGCCCTAGGCATACCTGTGTGACTTACGTCCGTTTAAGTTCTTAGTGAAGTTATTCACATAAGATGATATCAGTCTAGAATTATGTACCATGTTATTGACTATCTCATACCTAGATTTACAAAGGGCACCTTCAACCCTTTTCTTACTAGACTGGATCTATTTTTTATTGTTCTTGCAGGCAGAGAAAGAGGAAAAAGTATATTACATGCCGAGAAAATAAATAAAACAGAAGTTTACAAATAGAAAAGCCTGGAGTCTTTTTTTTTTTTTTTTTTTTTTTTTTTGTCTAAATCACATGGTGATGATTTCTTGACTTTGTGGAACTCTAAAACAAAGTATTAGAGAATGACCCTTTTCATAGTGTAGCTGCTAGTTTGAAGATAATGTAAAGAGAGCAAAGCGTGCAAATTGTATTGTGGGAATTTTGTGACTTATTGTTTCTCAGAGCAAAGAAGATGGAGAGACGTTACAGGAGGGAGCGTGGGACACGAGGCCGAATGTCTGCTCAAGCCTCCCACCTCACTTCCTTATCATCCCTTATTGCTCAATCATTGCCATTTATGAAATCCAGATGCAGGCAGAGTGGCTTCCACGTGGAATAAACTCCCTTTGTTAGGAGAACTGCGAGTGTTCCAGCTTCAGGATTTCTATGGCCATGCCAGGGATTTGTTTTGCTTTATTTTGGGTTTCAGGTATTGGCTTTCCACATAGTGAGACCATCTGTTTCTTTGAAGCCTTGCACTTCTTGACACACACCTCTTGGCGAGACTGAAGCACATCTGCATCTGCGATCTCCAAGGAAAGAAAAGTCCTGGGATTCCCAGAGGGGATAGTACAGGAGTAGCTATCCTGTGAATGGCGGCAGCACAGGCTTTAAGCTCTGCCCAATGGCCCCACAAAGACGAAGAAACACAATCACAGCCATGAAATAAGTGGTCACACCCTTCACATGTTGTTTTAGAAAACAAAAGCATAAAGAACATAGTTCAGAGGCAGTCTCACTGAGTAAGACTCTTGCTGACAATCCTGAAGACCCGAGTTTGAGCCTCAGAACCCACATGGTAGGAGGAGAGAGCCACCACTTGCAAGCTGTCCTGTGACATCACGTGTGCTATGGCACCTGCGTGTGCACAAAGTCAAGAAATAAAGATATAAAAAACCAAATTAGAAAATATAATTTGCTTTCTTGAACAGAGTCCAAAGGCATCTGGAGAAGGGAAAATCTATCTCAATTTCAGATATTTGACACAAGGACAAGTTTTGGGGTTGGCAACAAGATAGTGGCAGTGGGTGTGTCTAAAGGAGTATCTGGGGAAAAAAAAGGAGTATCTGGGGAAGAGGCAGTCCTGGCCAACAGCTATTTTTAACTGAATTAATAATTAATTGACTTAGTTACTGCAGTACTGGAGATTGGGCTCCAGAATCATGCATGCTAAGCAAATACTCTACCAATGAGCTGTATACAAGTCATCACACATATAATATATAGATGTGAAAGTCTGAGATCCTAGCTCTCTGCCTCCCTCTATTGCCCTAGTTCCAGATGATCAACCAATCACTGCTCATCCTTCTTAGGTTTGTTATAGGAAGCTCATAACAGAGAAGCGCAAAGGGATTTATTATAGAGATGGAGGACACTCTTAGTGTCTCAGTTAGGGTTTCTATTGCTGCAAAGAGACACTATGACCACGGCAACTCTTATAAAGCAAAACATTTAATTGGGGTAATTCACTTACAGTTCAGAGGTTGGTCCATTGTCATCATGGTGGGACATACCTGCAAGCCGACACGGTGCTGGAGAGTTAGTTAAGAATCCTACATCTTGCAGGCAACAGGAAGTGGCCTGTGTGTCACCTTGAGCCAAGCTTGAGCAAAAGAGATCTCAAAGTCCTCCCCCACAGTGACACACTT